CATAAAAATACGAAGTAATCCAGACTGTTGACAAAAGCAAGATCCACTGGCAGAGATTTGTCGTCAGTTCGACATTCCACAAGGGTCGATTCCCACCATTATCAAGGATAGAGAGAAGATAGTGGCAGCATACTCCAATGAAAAGTTTGCTCTGGATCGAAAGAAGATGAGATTACCCGATGTAGATGCTGTGAACCAAGCTCTTCTGATGTGGTTTAAGGACTCAAGGAGAAAGTCGGTGCCAAAACCTCTGTTCGTGGGTACTTATGGCTAGGGAAACTACCCATTAATAAGTACAGCTTGATTAGTCCACAAATGCTCACTTTCCTTGCATTTCGGTTTTAACAGGGATCGGATATAACAGGACTCTTTCTCTACTCCCACTATCCCTGTTATATCAGGTGTCCACTGTAAAAGAAAATGGCGGAAAATTAGAAGCACTGAACGTTAGAGAACGTAGACAGCTTGTATACATTTTACGTTCGTAGACACTTCCCTCTGGTATAGCGTGCGTTTGTTTTAAGCTCCTTGGTTTAGGCGCAGACTACTACTACTACTATTACTACTATCGAGACGTCAGTTTGATAGGGCAATAGACAACGATGAATTCGACCTGCTGGCAGTGCTTACTTAAATCGAAAAAAAGGAGCAGGAGAAGATGAAAATGATCTTTAGGTCAATTGATTATCAATGTATCTCTCCGAGTGAAGGTGCTTACGTCAATTTTGTTCTCTTTAATAATGTATCATAATAAATTAGAGCAATATTATCCGTTTTGCTGGGCTTTTGTGAGCATTTTTTTCGAATACATGTACTACTAGTACTACGCTTACTGGGCTCAACACACTCCTGCCGCACCGCTCCTCGTCTCTCAGCCACTGCCAAAGTTCATGTCGCTATTTTGTAAGTGGAAAAGGGGGTTGGGGGGGGGCGTTAAGAGATAGTGACAGCCACCCTTATAGTAATACCACAAATACATGTATAGAGCGATAACACTTCTTCAGTGTTTTGCAACATTGCTTACAAGAACAGCCACATTGCTTACAAGTACATGTATTACAAGAACAGCCACATTGCTTACAAGTACGTATATTACAAGTACAGTCACATTGCTTACAAGTACATGTATTACAAGAACAGTCACATTGCTTACAAGTACATATATTACAAGTACAGTCACATTGCTTACAAGTACATATATTACAAGAACAGTCACATTGCTTTCAAGTACATATATTACAAGAACAGTCACATTGTTTACAAGTACAGTCACATTGCTTACAAAGTACATATATTACAAGAATAGTCACATTGCTTACAAAGTACATATTTTACAAGAATAGTCACATTGCTTACAAGTTTACAAGTACATGTATTACAAGAACAGTCACATTGCTTACAAATACAGTCCAACTTGCTCCAGCAGCCACCTGTCTAAGAGACTCATCCGTACAAACGACCATTTCCCACTCTTCCTCTTCCGTCTTTTATATTG